ACATACAGAGGCAATACTGAGAAGCAAAGCCAATAAATACAACAGACGGCATGGTAACATCATAACAACAGATTTCGTTGTTGTTCTCTTGTGTGGTTGAACTGAGCAAACGAAAAAAAAAGATTATAAAGCAAATATAAACAGAAAATAAAAAGAAACACAAACAAAGAAAGACTAGTGAAAACAACAACAACAACAAGAAGCATCAGTCAGCTACAAAAATACGTGCAACAATAACCTCTACTAGTGTTCAAATTAAAGGAACGACACCCATAGTAACCAATAAAAAAAACGATAATCCTAGTTAACCCTCAAAAGAAAAAAAGAAATTAAAGAGAACGACCATCAGAAGCAGAAAGCACAGAAATACATAACAGTGCTTCTGTCGTTCACGTATATGCAATTAAGAAGATATGTTTATGTATGTTATTATTATTTCTCTGCAGATAGCAATACAAAGTAACAGTAAACGGAGAAGCACACAACGCCCAAGCAAAGAAAACGTGAACAACAACACAAATTAAGAACATGACCAACCGCACAAAAATAACTCACAGACCACTGAGTACACTAGTCTGTTCAAGCAATTAGGAATACAAATTGTATTAATTACTATTATTTTCTCTTTGTTCTGCATAAAGCAGAATACCAAAACCGTGAAGGTCAAAACACACAAAGACCCAGCACACCAAATGCACAAAAAAGATATTAATCATTAGCCCAACTTACCCAGTAAACATAGAAATATACACCAACTAATTATGGGTCTAAGTCTATATGTGTATATATACGCAATTATAAATATAAATTCATCGGTTATTATTATTTCTTTTCTTTTCACTGCAAAAAACAATTCATCATTATCACAGTGCAAAGCCCAGGTGCACACACACAGAGAGAGACTCCAAGAACACACACACACAATGGAGTAGCAATAATAATAATTATAGGATAAACACACAAAACACATTAACATGAAGAAACAAAAAAAGAAGATAATTTCAACAGGTGGAAGATTAGTTAAACTGTAGGGATTGCATGCATGCAAAAAAGAAAAGGAAAACAAAGGATTACCTGAGTCACACCACCACCACCACCATTACAATCAGCACACAAGAATCCAGGCCAGTGTAACCACAATCAGTAGTGGTACACGCACCCACACAGAACTGCTGATACTACTGCAGCTGTCTGCATCACCCTTCTTCTTGTTTGCAGCCTCAGGAGGAAGTGTTGTTGTTGTTGTTGTGGTGGTGGTGGTTGATTCCTCATTATTTGTTGTAGTATCATCCCCAGAATTTGCAGTTCCTGCAGATGAGGGGTCGTTCTCATTCGTTGTGGCATTAGAATTTCCACTGCCGCCCTCTGAGGTTAAACCAGTAGAAGGTTGTTCTGCTGCTCCATTTCCATTTCGTACATTGTCCCCATCTTGCCTTTCACTTGCAGACACAGCACCACTTCCCTTAATATCAGGAGATTCAGAAGTAGGACCAGGAGAGGGAGCAGCAGCACCGGGAGGACCCTGTGGGCCTTGTACAGCAACTGGAGAGCCTTTACCTTCCTGTCCCTTAGGGCCTAACGCTTTTTCTTCTTCACTTCTGTTATCAAGATCAGAACCATCGGGCACTCCAGATGCAGGTGATACGGCACCAGCAAGCGGTTTACTTTTATCTTCTGAACTCTCTTCTTGGGCATCTTTCACTTCCAAATTTTTTTTAGCATTTTCCATTTTTGTACCGCTACTAACACTTCCCTCTTCTCGAATTTCATCCATTGTTGTTTTGGTTACTTCGCCAGGTGGCTGTTCCTTAAGACCAGGAGGTGTACCAGGATCATCATTACGTTCTCTACCACCACTACTTTCTGCACACTGAGATTTACCAGCATCCACAGGGGATGAACCAGATGGACAATGAGAAACTTCAGAATGTCCATCACCAGGACCTGGTGGACCTCCAGGACCAAGTTCCGTAGGTTTGGCCTCAAGAGGTTCAGCTTCAGCTTCAGCTTGAGCAGCTACCACATAACTGCAGAGACAACAGAGTGCGATAGTGATAGCACAGAACGCTTGGCGAACTGACATCATTACTTATTCCGTTTGTGTTACTATCTCAACGTAGTGATCTAAACAACAAAAGAAACAGAGAGAGGCACCAAAAATATAAATAAAGAAAAGTACATAAACAGAACAAAACGAAAAGGGTAATAGCAAACTAAGAATTAACAGAAAGCTGCAAACATCACTCAAATAGTATCCAAATGAAACAAACAAGCACAAACTACCCATTAACAAACAGATAAGCCCAAATAACCCCTTAAAAATAAGAAAAAGAAATTAAGAGAATAACCATCAGAAGGAAGCACAGAAATAAATACCACTTTCACTTTCAATAGAACCATGTGCAACATTATGAATATATATATGAATT